CAGATTCTATGAAGCTCATGAATGGGACAAAGATCTTGTGAACCAACGATGGAAGACCTTTGTCTCTCCTCTCTGTATATCTGACTTTGCAATAAAATAATTTTTTTCTTATAAAAGATCTTGTGTCAAGAGATTGCTGATGCATTATCACTCCTTGATGTCAACACCCTCTGCTTTGACACAGCTTTAAAGTTGTCCTTTAGACATACAGCCCTCTTCTCTATCTGTTCATTCTGAATTTGTGGATTCAACCAACAGCAGCTCAAAGATATTTGGAAAGCAATTGTGTGTATCTGAACTAAATAGGTACAGATTTTTTGCTTGTCATTCTTCAATAACAACACAGTCTAACAATTGTGTATATAGTATTTATGTGATATGAGACATTTTCCATCTACTGGTTCTCCCCCCAAAAGGCCTCAACAGCCAGAGCTGAGTCAATCTAAAGCCAGGGCCTCTTCTGGGTCTCCCACACAAGTGCAGTGTCCCAAGACTTTGGGACATCCTCTGCTGCTTTCTCAGGTCACAAGAAAGGAGCTGGATGGGAATGGAGCAACTAGGACATGAACCGGCACCCAAATGGGATCCTAGTGCATGCAAGGCGAACATTTAGCCACTAAGCTATTGCACTGGGCCCATAATTCAAGATTTAAATCAAAGCAAGAGCCCACAGGATGAACAGAGTGTCCCAATCTTCCTCCCCAGGGGCAATTTTTGCCCTCTTCATGTATATAAAGTCCATAGGAAAATAGAATCAAAGGTTGATTAATTTAGGTGCAAAAGTTACTGAAATCCATGTTTGAGAAGGGCTTTCCAAGGCTCACGGAACATGCCTGCTCTGAAAACACTAGGGCATGAATTTCAGAAATGTACTGCACTAAAATACACATCTTTGCATTCCATTTTCCACAAGCTTTTGAAATAACCTTTGGGTGTGTTTAGAGCGCCCCCTTTTTGGAATGGCAGCCTAGTGTTTGATCTGCAGTCGTATCATAATTTACTTACCCATAATTTTTCCTGCTACTTCCAACAGCTGTTTTAAAATGTGGAGAAGGTTACGATTAATTGTTACACCGAGCAACAATTATCCTGGGACGCGAATGGCTATAGGGTTGGATAAGCACACACTGTCACCACCGTCAAGCTGCGGAACAGTTAGTTCTATCAGCTCTGATGTTCCTGTGCACCCACGCTGGCAGTCTCCTTTGCTTGTCTCACCGAGCCGTTTTCTCTCCCCGTGTTTTGTCCTGTCATCACATAGCGGGGCGGGGCCTCTGGTGCGATGGTGGAGCTAGTGCTTGGAGACTGCTTAGTTTTGAATTCTAGTTCTGCTTCCTGCTTGTGGACATCCTAGGGGACATCAGTGGCCGTGCAAGTAGCTGAGTGCTTTTCACTCAGATGGGAGACTCAGATTGGAGTCCAGGCTCCCGGCTGTGGCCTGCTGGGGACAGTGGATAGGGGATCATTCAATGAGAGTTCTGTTTCCCTGTTTCTGCCTTTCAAACAAACAAACAAAAAATTAACTGTCACATAGAATGAAGCATTTTGGATCTGGTTTCTTTGTCTGAGCCCAGGACATTAGAGATTCATTCTGGCATGTGTCAATGGTCACTTCTTTGTCTTAATGAATGATACTTCTGGTATGAATATCTTTACCAATTATAAGACACATGGTCATTTCTAGTTCAGGCAGTTATGTCCAAACCTGCTATTGCCCGGGATTAGGTTTCAAGAGGCCTCAGTTTTTATTCCTCTTGGGTATACTGTATGATTGTGATTACTGGGACATAGGATACATGTATGCATGACTTTACAAGCCATTGCCAAGCTCTTTTCCAAGTGGCTATATCACTGTGGCTTTTCACCAGATTCATATGTTGCATGCTTGCCAGTATTTAGTATTGTCATCTCTTCTAGCTTTTCTGATAGCAGTATATAAGCTTTTGGCTTACTATAGAAACCGATACAACCCATATCCTTATTTAGACGAAGCATCTTCAAAAGACTCAGGAAAATGCCTGTTATGAAAAACATTATGCATGGTTTTCAAAATTTGTGCCAAAATGAATTTATCATATTTTTCTGATGCAACAGATAGAGACAGACAGAAAGAGGTGACATGTCCTAGGTCAATGCCCAAATGCCCATAATGGCTGGGACTTGGCCTGGGCCAGGAGCCCCATACACCATCTAGGTCTTTTATGTGAATGAAAGAACCCAATTACTTGAGATATCACCACTGTCTCTTGGGGTTCCCATTGGAAACTGATCAGCTGCGGCTGGGAGCCAAACTTGGGTACTCTGACGTGGGACACAGGTGTCTTAAGCACTGGGCCCAACACCTGTTCCTAAGCTTATCTTCGTATTCCATTTTCCATGAGCTTTTAGGAGCACCCATGTAAATGCTTTGTAATCAGGCATGAGAAAGCTTGTGAGATACACTGTTGGGACTAGATGCTGGTAGGTCAAAGTGTGTGAAAGGCTGCTGTGGTATTGCCAGACAGCCTTCTGGGTGGTGGTGCCAGTTTGTCCACCTAGCAAGCATACAAAGCTGTACCTGTTCCTCCACCTCCTCACTGCCACATTATCCACTTTAGGAACACTTTGGAGCTGGGGTGGGGCTGTGCTTTTCAAAGAGGCAGAAAAGCATAGACAAAGGGAGCTCCCACCCACTGGGCCAAGGCTGGAGACAGGAGCCAGAAACTCAGTTCTGGCATCCCCTGTGGGCGGTGGTGACCCACATACCTGAGCTCTCGCCTGCCGCCTCCCAGGGTCTTGCATTGGTCAAAAGCTGGCATCAAGGGCGGAGACACTGACATGAGGCGTGGATGTCTTCACCGGCATCTTAAGGGCTAGGCCAAAGGTTCAACTTCAGACAGTTGGTGTGTGAATATCTGTCTCGTCAAGTTGACGGTGCGTATTTACTGGAGCAGCACCTGCCAGACAGAGTAGTAGTGGGTGTTAGTTACTGCACAAATTGCTTCTTGGCCTTTGGGCTGAGATCGAGTATAGTTCCTGCCCAAGGAGGGCTACTGCACTCATTTGTCACATTATCATAGACCTTTGGCTCTGAGAGCCTCACCAGCGCATTCAGAAGTACTTTCCTCTTAAGAGCTTCAACATTCCACTTGTGGAACTCAGGGAATCCTGGTAAAGCTCTTGAGATGCTGATGGGAAATTCAGGCCGTGGGTAATGAGTTCAGGAATTCAGAGAAGTGTGACTGCATGGAACCTTTCTAAATCACACAACAGGTCTGTGTACACAGGTTCAAAAAGTAACAGAAGGAAAGTCGACTCCTCTGGGTCATGGTGGCTCTCAAATTTACTTAAAAAAAAAAAAAAACTGTATCTGTTTATTTGACAGAGATCTCCTATCTGTAGTCTGCAGCTTCCCTTCCCAAATGACCACAACAGCCGGGGGTGCAGGAGAGCACCAGACCAAAGCCAGAAGCTGGGGACGCCATGTAAACCCTCCACATGGGAGATAGGGACTCATGCATTGGACCCATTACCTGCTGTTTCCCAGAGGCACATTAGCAGGAAGCTGGAATCAGGGCAGAGCCAGGACTTGAACCTAGGCATCCTGATGTGGAATGTGGCCATTTCAAACTGTCTCAACCACAATGTCAAACCCCTGTCTCTCAAACTTTTCATTTTTAAGTATTTATTTTTAAAGGCAGATGAACCATTAAATATATCTTGATGATGGGATGCTGGACTTCATATTGTCTATACCTACAATGCCCTGATACACCTAAATAGCAGAATGATGGACTTGTGACCGAAGCTGAAGGATTATACTATTGAAATACTACAGGGAAAAAAAAGGGGTGGGGTTGGGGGGAGGGACTGGGGAAGGTGGAAGGGGAAATCCCTGAGCCCATGGAAAACTGTATTTATATATATATATATATATATATATATAAAGCAGATGTATAGAGAAAAGAAGAGACAGAAATCTTCCATCTTTGGGGCCAGCATTGTGGCATAGGGGATTAAGCCCACTCTGCAATGCCAGCATCCCATATGAGCGCCGGTTGGAGTCCCTGCTGTTCCACTTCTGATGCAACTCCCTGCTAATATACCCACCTGGGAGAGTCTTTCTGTTTTCTACTCATTTTATTCCATTGTGTGCAAAACAATCCTGATGGGATTCCACTGAAAAACAGGTTTCTCCCATTGGGTTGACCAGCAGCTTAAACAGCACAGTTCTAGAGTGTAGAATGAGACTTCCCTTATTTCATCAAGTCTTTTGGCCTTCTCACAACCGGAAACATCTAAACTGACATCCGTTTGGGGAACAGTATTTTCATCTTCCTTTTTCTTAATTTCCTTACAGTGGTTAGAAGGGACCCATTCTGTCAGCAGTTAATTTTGCAAAAGGCACTTCATGTGACCAGTATTCAGTACCAGCAGGTGATCAAGAAGCCCGGATTCAAGTGGTCACCACTGCCACTTGCTGGAGATCTTAGCTTCTTCACTCTAGAAGATTCCATGTCTTCCTCTGTCAAACAGGGGAATCCTAGGGGAAATCCATGAGCTGCGTGAAGTGAATACTTTAGAGGCTCTTGTTCTGTTACTTCTAGAACAGCAACCTTAGCTGGGAACGTGACAGAAATGCACCTTGTCAGACCTCATGCCACATTTACGGAGTCGGGAGGCAAAGGTGTTCTACAAATCTTCCCAGTGATCTCAATGCCTGCTCAAGCTCGCCAACCACAGGCTTGGTACGTGGTGACTGCTAATAGTGGAGGCTGCAGAGCTGAAGAGCGGGCATCGGTGACCAATCAGCAAGTTCAAGACAAGCACTAAAAATCTAGCGGCTCCCGCAGGTGAGGGCACGCGCCTGCACCCTCCACCATCTGATTGGTGGAGTCGCTTGTCGACTTTGGCCATTTGCCCAATCACAGAGAGTAAACACTGTAATGGGGCGGGAACCGAGTAGGAGGGTGACAAAGCCGTGAGCCTATTGGCTCCAGACCACGTTACAGCAGAAAGGGGCTGTGCGCGCCTGCGCACTGTCAAGGCGCGTCCCCTCCAGCCGTTGGAAAATGGCGACTGTCTCCGAATTGAAGGCTGGTGAGTGCGAGCCGCTGGGCTGACTGGGTGGAAGTCTTCGGGCCCGTGAGAAGGATGGAACGGGGGCAGAGCGCGCGGAACACCACGCCCGGCCCTCCTAGGGAGGATCGTTGTGCTGTGAGTCTGCGGGGGAACGTCTGGCTTGGTCCGGCGGCCTGCGGTTGCCCAGGGGCAGTTTCCAAGGAAGCCGGGAGCTAGTTTGAGGAAGAGTCTGGAATCCGCAGCTGACCGAGCGGTCTACTGGCCTGCGCCTTTCCGGAACCCCCAACCAGAGAGCTGGGGCGGGAGGAGGGGAGCGAGGGGCCGGGGCGGGCCCTGCCCCTGCCCCTGCCCCTGCCCCTGCCCCTGCCCCTGCCCCTGCCCCTGCCCGTGCCCCTGCCCGTGCCCCTGCCCGTGCCCCTGGTGTCCGGCTGCCCCTTCAGTGCCAGGCGCAGGTCCGTGGTTGTCTGGGTTGCAGGTGCATCCCGCCTCTCCCTCTGGGTAAAACAGGCAGAGCTTTTCCTGACCTGGTCATGCCTCCACCTCCCTCCCATCCCCTCAGAAAAGCTCCTGAAAAGGCAGTTAGGGGCCAGCAATGAGTCCAACACCTGCGCGCCCTTGACGCTGAAACCGATGTCACGAGTCACGACAAGGGACAATCCGCTGTAGTTACCTGGGATTCCACCACCCAGCTCATGCAGTTACCCAGTGGCTGCCTCGTGGTAGCTCTCTGCCCATTCCTTAGACGGGCAGGCTGAGGTGGCTGAGTGGTGCTGGTCCATTTAGGCAGAGGGGCAGGAAGATTAGGCTGCGTGTTGAGTCGGAGCATCGAGTCTGGGGGTGGTGCGGTAGGGGGAGCAGGGAGCTTTATTGCTGCTTGAGGATTCGGGCCAATCCCAGTTTTCTTCATTTAGATTTGTCTTTAGATTCCGGGTCTAAAGCAGTCATTCTCAGACAGGTTGGAAGGGGGAGGTGGTTGAATCTTTTTGAGCTCGTGGCTCAGTCCCCACGGATGGAAGTGTGTGTTTGAGGGGTGGGGGCACTAGGTTAGTGAGCAGTAAGAAAAGCAGAACTCTGTTGGCAGGAGCAGACTGTGTATGGATCTGTGGGCTGTCCCCAGGGAAGCCCTGGTCACCCCCTGTGCAGGGCTGCCTTGCGGTTGGAGAGTTTACTGCCTCTGCATTCACCAGCTTGAGGCTGCTGTCGGGAGCAGTGTGTACAGTACAGGGTCGTAAGCGTAAGGCCTCCATGGCAGGTTAACGTGATAGGTGCAGCTAAAAATGACGACTGTCCTACACAGATTTAGGGCTACGTTTATATCTGATCTCCCCCTGCCCGCCACCCCTCCTCCCCACCTACTGCCTGTATTCTGCAGTTCTGAATGGACTCTGTCAAAGGGAAACCCAGTGAAATCTTGTGAGCCAACCAGCCGTCTTTTGTGGATTTTTACAATTTGATTTGTGAGTATCTCTGAGAATTACAATTCAGTATGTTGGGGACAGCAGCTGAGGCGTAGGTTGAGGCGTGGGTCAGCTTTCTGATATTATGGTGTGCTTTCAGGTATCAACGGTGTACAACACTGTATTATAGAACTCCTGGATAACATTTATTGAGCTCTTACTGTATTAGCACTCGACCGAGATGTGTGGATCTGTGGTGTTGTCATTTACAGTCTTTGGTAAAGAAGGTTGCAGGGCACTGCAAGGGATGGTGCCTGATTACCAATACAGAGGACTCAAGCTAAATCCCATTTTCATATTTACTGACTTGTTATAGTGACCTTAGTCCATCAAGAAATTAGGTTACGTTTATCGTCTACAACCCTGACTCCTTAAAATATGTTACCCTACACGATGGCTAAATCCTCACCCTGTAAGTGTTGGGATCTGGGAACTGGTTCAAATCCTGGCTGCTCTACTTCCCATCCAGCTCCCTACCAATGGCCTGGGAAAGCACTTAAGGATGGCCCAGAGCCTTGGGACCCTGTACCCACATGGGAGAGCTAAAGAAAGCTCCTAGCTCGTGGCTTCGGATCAGCTCAGCACTAGCCGTGGCCACTTGGGGAGTGATCTTCATCTTTGTCTCTCCTCCCTTCTATAATCTGACTTTCCAATAAAAATAAAATAAATTTCAAAAAAAAAAAAACAACAAAAAAAATGTTTTTAAAGTGCATGAGAGCCTGGGGTTTGGATTCAGGTCCTGATAAGTTCATGGTAATTCTGGCCCCTCCTTTTCCTCCTCACTGAAGTAGATCTCAGACTGCAGTCCCTACAGTGAAGACCCTGTAAACAACTTGAATTTGCTCTGATACGTTAGGAGTACAACTGTGTGGCTTGAGACCTTTAGTTTGCATTACAAACACGGCTTATGGTACTTACAAATGTTTGCTTCGTCATAATATTTAGATTTATGCCATTTACCTTCTGAACATCTTCAAAGTGTGCCCAAGCATGACGCAGTTGGTTCTGTAACAGGATCGTTACTGTTTTGTGTTTAACAGTGTTAAAGGACACTTTGGAAAAAAGGGGAGTATTGGGACATTTGAAAGCCAGAATCCGAGCCGAAGTGTTCAACGCCCTGGACGATGACCGTGAGCCCCGGCCGTCGTTGTCTCACGAAAACCTTCTTATTAACGAGTTAATTCGGGAGTATTTGGAATTCAACAAGTATAAGTACACCGCGTCTGTTCTCATGGCAGGTGAGTGCTTATTGCTCAACTCCACACAGGGAAGCCGCGTCTGCCCCTTCCTGGTTCTCGGGGAGTCTTCACCCTGGAAACCCAGTGCCATCACCAGACAGCGGCATAAAGGTGACTGGCAGGCGAAGTTCTCCTGAGCTAAACTGCAGGGGAAAGCGGAGTTAAACAGGCTCCCTCCTGGGTGCATGCTTTGGAAAATCATTCTTAATTCCCGATTATTTTTCCAATTATTATTTTGATTATTTTTTCTTTTTAAAATGTTTTGGATATTTGTTTAAGTGGGTTTTTTAAAAGATTCTTTTATTCTTATATTTTTTCTTTTCAAAAATGTACTTACTTTTATTGGAGAGGCAGATATACAGAGAGGAAGAGAGACAGAGAGGAGGATCTTCCTTCCGACGGCTCACTCCCCAAGTGGCTGCAACAGCTAGAACTGAGCCAGTCCAAAGCCAGGAGCCAGAAGGTTCTTTCGGATCTCCCACATGGGTGCTGCGTCCCAAGACTTTGAGCTGACCACAACTGCTTTCCAAGGACACAAGCAAGGAGCTGGATGGGAAGCGGGGTTGCTGGGATTAGAACTGATGCCCATATGATATGGGATCCCGGCGCGTTCAAGGCGAGGATTTTATCCTTTAGGCTACCGTGCTGGGCCCTTGGTTTTTATTAAGAAAATATTTGAAAAATACTCTCTTCTTGTGATCCAGCAGTCATTAACTGGGGTGGTGAGGGTATTTTTCACATCTTCTGCTGACTTTTGAGGTGCCTTCCAGGAGTGTGAGCAGAGTCTACATACAGACATGCGTGCTGGTAGGGCAGTGTTCCCCTCCAGGCTGCCAGGAGGACTGAGGTCAGGCAGGGTGGGGGTCGGAAGCAGCTTGTGTGGGCACATCGTTTGATTCACTTGTGTCAGGTTTTTTTTTTTAAGATTTATTTATATTTATTATTTATTAGGAAGGCAGATACACAGAGAGAAAGAGATACAGAGAGAGATCTTCCATCTGCTGGTTCACTCCCCAAGTGCTACAGTAGCCAGAGCTGAGCAGTTGTGTAGCCGGGACCCAGGGGCTTCTAGGTTCCTCACGTGAGTGCAGGATCCTAAGGCTTTGGGCCGTCCTCCACAGCTTTCCCAGGCCACAAGCAGACTGGACTGCCCTAGACATTATGACAGGTTGGGTAGTGAACCAGTGGATTAAAGATTTCTCTGTCTCGCTGTAACTCTGCCTTCTAATTAAATAAAATAAAAAAAAAAATTTAATGAAAGATTTACTTAACTGAAAGGCTCTTTGATGTCAGTACCTGTTTTTTGCTCAGTTTGTTATGGACGGCTGTATAACTCAAAGAGAAAAGAGCATTGTGACAGGATCATTAATTGGTTGTCTTGGGCTTGAGCTTCCCCAGCTTGAAGTGTAGTGATAATTGTGTAATGGTTTCACATGGAATTTTTTTTTTTTCCTAACTGAGGTACAGATTCCATGTAATGAAGTTTCCATGTATGCATTTTGTCATGCCAATTCAAATGTATGTTCAGTACCACCAGTCAGGGTACAGGATATTTCCGTTTCTGTTGAGGACTGTTGTGCCCCTTCATAGTGAATGTCTTCACGCACCAACCCCTTCTCCCCCAGTGGTCTGTTCCTAGCTGCCAGAAGTTGCCCTTTTTTGGGGTGCCATGTGCAAGGGGTCATGTAGAATGTTACTTTTCTGCAAGCGGAGTCCGTTCAGCCCGGGTGGTGTGTTTCCTGGTGATAGCCTTTGTTGTGTGGTCGTGGAGGTTTGTTATTGCCTGATAGGCATGCCAGTTGTTTATGGTTTTTGGCAGTTGTAAAGCCAGCCTTTGTGTGGATGTAAGTTTTCATTTCTCCTGGGTAAATGCTTACGAGCAGGGGTTGCTGGGCCTTGGGGTTGGTGTATGCTGACCTCTGTAAGAGGATCCCTCTATAATTCCCAAGTGGATCTACCATTTTTGCTTTCCCACCAGCGAAGTGAGAGTTTTGGCTGCCCCATGTCCTCACAATGTAACTTAGGATTGCTGTCATCAGTGAATTCTTGTTGATATCATCCTGTATTAGATTTATAAGCTTCCTAGCAAATAGACTAAAGTCTGGAATAGCAGCTTAGATGCAAGAGCTATATTTCTAAGAACTTTAAAAAAATATTTATTTTTATTGGAAAGGCAGATATACAGAGAGGAGGAGAGACAGAGAGGAAGATCTTTTGTCCAATGGTTCACTCTCAAAGTGGCCACAATGGCTGGAGCTGAGCCAATCCAAAGCCAGGAGCCAGGAGCTTCTTTTGGGTCTCCTAAGCAGGTGCAGGGCCCAAGGCTTTGGGCCATTCTCTACTGCTTTCCCAGGCCACAAGTGGGGAGCTGGATGGGTAGTGGGGCTGCCAGGACATGAACCAGCACCCATATGGTATTCCGGTGTGTGCTAGGCTAAAGTCCACTAGGCTGTTGCACCAAGCCCTCTCTGAGAAATTTGAAAAGTAGGGAGAAGGAGGGAAAAATGAAAGAACTCATCTCATCCACTGGTTCACTCCCCAGATAGCTCATAGTCTGTGTGTGCAGCTGAAGCCAGGAACCTCATTCTTGGTCTCACATGTGTGTGGAAGGAGCCCAGTTACTTGAGCCATCGCCCCTGCGCCTGAGAGGAAGGAACAGAACTCGGGCTGCTGTGGAGTGTGAGTCTTAACTGCTAGACTGAGCAGCTGCCTGTAAACTGAATTTTCCCAAAGAGTTGGGCGATTTAAAATGGGACTTTATGTGAAGCTGTATTAAGTTCACATGTAAGAGGATGGACGTTTTGCAAGTCATACCATCACATTCAGTGAGTCTATCTTGGCATGTGCCATCCGCAGTCTTCCAAAGTCTGAAATGTGTGTTTACCCAGTAAGTGTGGTTTTTATCAAAATACCTTGGCTTGTTAGGTTTACAGACTCAGTGTTTTCATGACTTTTTTCCCCCCAGAATCTGGCCAACCTGTAGTTCCATTGGACAGACAATTTCTCATCCGTGAACTAAATGCATTTGAAGAATCGAAGGATAACACAATGTAAGAATTTTTTTAAAGTAAGTTCTCAGCTATCACTATCTTGGAGTCATAACTGCATGGAGGTGGTTTTATTTTCCTTCGGTTTGGCAAGTATTTCTTCCCAACTAGTGTATGTTGAGCATTGCACCAAATCCAGAACGTGCTGTAGTCAACAGCCTGACTGTCTCCACTGATGGCCAGAGCCCTCTGCAGCTCCTTCTGCTAAGGTTTGCTCTTGGCTGTTTGATGTTTACTTTTTCTTAAAATATTTAATTATCTTTATTTTTGATGATTTTTACATAGTTGATTAGGGTGCAAAGGGTCAAGGGCTACAGGAAAGTGAGTGAGACTACCATATCCACATTCTGTCTCTCTTTTTTGGTTTTTTTTTTTTCCTTTCTGCAATTGAGGCAACTGGGGAGACAAGGGGAGAAGCCACACACAGACTCCCAACTGCCTTCATATCCTGGGATGGAGGACAGCTACTCAACACCATCCCAGGGTCCCCAGTGTGGGGCGAGCTCCCTGAAGGTCCTGCTCAAGAGGTTTTGATAGTTCAACAGTTCTGAATTACTGCTGATGTCACCCTCTAAGCATGATGAAATCTCTCCGGAATCCATTGGTTGTCACAGTTCACCTTAGCGCCTCCACTTGCCCCGATATTCACTGTAAACACTTGGCTGCAGTAGTGGATCATTTTGTTCTGTCCTCGGTCCTCTGTCATGGTACCAGGTGTCCTTTGCTGGCTCCAGTGTACTGCCATATCCTCCATGAGCACCTGAGTATGCTGTTCACTGCTCTGTCTAAGCCACTGGAGGCCCAGCCCTGACACATGCACTCCACAGTCAGACCATGGGACCTGCAATTCTCTCCATGGTTGGGGTTCTGAGTCCAGAGATTCAGTTGAGGGGATCTCCACAAAAACTTTATCTGAGGTGATCCCGTACTTGATTCTTATGTGTGCTTGCCAATACAGGGTCTGGCACAGTCTGTCGCACACACTGGTCATTGCCATTGCTGGGTCAGTTCTGTCTTCAGCCCTGTCTGGTATGCAAAGTAACAAATGTTGGAGTCCAGCCTGATGCTGCCCACCGCACACTCAGCCCTCACGCAAACCAGTAGGGACTGCACCTTAGTTGGAGCGACCCACAATAATCTCCACCAGGCCTTGGGAACCTGCAACCACATAGGAAACCTTTAAGAGGCTCCAGGCTCTTGGCTTTGGATTGGCACAGCTCCGGCTGTTGAGGCTGCTTGGGGAGTGAATGAATGGATGAAAGATCATCTTCTCTGTCTCTCCTCCTCTCTGTATATCTGATTTTCCAGTAAAAATAAAATAAATCTTAAAAAAAAAAAAAAAGAAATATCTTTGAAGGCTGTGTTTTCTCTTTCTTAAAGAGATGGAGTGACACAGAGAGGTATCGTCCATCCATCTTCTGGCTTACTCCTCAAGTGACTGCACCAGCTCTGATTGGGCCAGGCCAGAGCCAGGAGCCTAGATAGAGCTCAATCCAGCTCTCCCACATGAGTGGCAGGATCTCAGTCACTTACGTTTTGTTCCTGCTTCCCATGCATATTAGCAGGGAGCTGAATCAGAAGCGGAGCAGCCAGGGTTCAGTTGACACTCCCAAAGACACATCACCATCACAAGATACAGCCTTGCCTGTTGCGCCTGTTAACCCCTGTGCCCAAAGTGACCCGCCCCGGCACTTGCTCTCCTTTCTAGTTTGCTTCATATGGCCAGCTATCTGAAAGACAACTATGACTTTGTCAAAATGCTTTAGCAGCTTTCCACTGTGCATGTCAGTGAAATCCAAATCCTGGTGGCCGTTTGGGTCCCTATCATTCTGCTCTGTCTCTAGGTGTATCTCCACACACCTGGAGCATTGTGGAGGCCTGCTAACCCCTGCAGCTTGGTGCTTTCTTCTCCTTTGCACAGACCACGTGCTTAGCCTGGAAGCTCTGTGTCACTTCCTTTTCCCTCTAAATTCTTATTGGGGTATCTTTTGTCTTTATTGGATCTGTGCAGATTTCAGTTTCCTTATGTCATTTTTCTTTTTCATATGCAAGTTTCTGGATGATTTAATTTGTGCTTTTATTGCATGTGCATTTCATTTATTCTTATGATTTTTTCTTTAAGGTGTGTTTATTTGAAAGGTAGAGTTATTTTGAAAGTCCAGGAGAGAGGGAGAGACATAAAGATCTTTTGTCCACTAATTCACTCCCCACATTGCCTATAACATCCAGGGCTGGGCCGAGTTTAAGGTGGGAGCCAGGATCTGGATCTCCAAGATGGATGCAGGAACCCAGGGAGTTGGGCCGTCTTCCACTGCCTTTCCAGGTGCAGTACAGGGAGCTGGGTTGGAAGTAGAGCAACTGGTACTCAGACCAGCACCCGTATGAGATGTTGGCCTCACAGGTAGTGGCTTTCCTTATGACGCCACAGTGCTGGGCTCTGTTCTCCTGGTCAGTGTTGACTTGCTCATCCACTAGACAGGAAATTCCGAGAAAAGGGACTGATGTTTTTCTGTTTGTCATAGTATCTCATATTCTTCATATATATATATATATAGATAGATAGATATCCAACAAAGTTTTTTTTTTTTAAGATTTATTTATTTATTGGAAAGTCAGATATACAGAGAGGAGGAGAGATACAGAGGAAGATATTCCGTCCGATGATTCACTCCGCAAGTGGCCGCGACAGTCGATGCTATGCCGATCTGAAGCCAGGAGCCAGGAACCTCTTCTGGGTCTCCCACACGGGTGCAGGGTCCCAAGGCTTTGGGTCGTCCTCGACTGCTTTCCCAGGCCACAAACAGGGAGCTGGATGGGAAGTGGAGCTGCCAGGATTAGAACTGGCGCCCATATGGGATCCTGGCGCGTTCAAGGCAAGGACTTTAGCCGCTAGGCCACGCTACCGGGCCCCAAGGACTTTAGCCGCTAGGCCACGCTGCCGGGCCCCAAAGTTTTTTTCTAATCTATGTTAATAGTAAATGATTATAGAAGCAGTAGCAGCAATTAGCCTAGCTAAAAAGGAAGATAACTGCAATCATGCTTTTTTTTTTTTTAAGATTTATTTATTTTTATTGGAAAGGCAGATTTACAGAGAGAAAGATGTTCCTTCTGCTGATTCACTCTCGAACTGGCCACAATGACTGGAGCTGGACTGATCTGAAGCCAGGAGCTTCTTCTGGGTCTCCCTCATGGGTTTCAGGATCCCAAGGCCTTGACCATCATCTGCCGCTTTCCCAGGCCACAGGCAGGGAGCTGAATGGGAAGTGGAGAAGCCAGGACTTGAACTGGTGCCCATATGGGATGCTGGCATTTGCAGGGGGGGGGGGGATTAGTAATTGAAGCCGTCACACCAGGTCCTGTTTATTTATTTTTAGTTTGAAAGAACTAGGAGACACAGAGAAAAAAAAAAATCTTCAACTTGCTGATTTATTCCCCAAATGACTGCAATATCCAGAATAGGGCCAGTTCAAAGCCAGCAACCTAGGAATTTCTTCCAGATCTCCCACATGTGTGCAATGGCCCTAGGACGTGGACAACTGTCCACTGCTTTCCCAGGCTATTAGCTGGGAACTGGATCAGAAGCAAAGCTTCTGGGACTTGAACCTGTACCTCTGTGGAATGCCAGCACTGCAGAGTTTTAGCCTGGTATGCTGACACTGGACCCTCCTACTACCTTTTAAATGGAAAAGTTGATCCAAGTGTAATTTGGGGAATACACAGTAACTATCTAAAGTAACTGTTTAGAAATGGTATTAAAGGGAGGAAGTTGTGGGATGCTTGTGTCCCATACTGAAGTCCTGCATCCACTTCCGATCTAGCTTCTCGCAAAGTGCACCTGGGGGGTAACAGGTGATAGGTCAAATAGTCAAGTCCCTTTCACACAGGGGAAACTTAGATGGAATTCTGGACTCCTGGTTTCAGTATGGCCTGGCTGTTCTGTGCAATCATTTGGGGAATAAACCAGCAGATGGAAGATCTGTCTGTGTCTTCTCTCATACTCTGCCTTTCAAAAACAAAACAAACCAAAAAAAAATTGACATTTTAGTTTTAGTATTTATTGAGCATCTGGGCTTTATCTAGTCATTCGTTACCAAAAGCCTTTGTAAACAGGAGACATGAGTGAGCCGAACAAGCTGGCTTCTTGTCCACAAGCTTTGTAATTAAAAAGTGTGATGAAAGACCATGAACAAGAGAAAGAAAAGTGGCTCCAGTGGTTAGGATAAGTATAATTTGAGTAATGTAGTTAGAATGTGTTTTCGTTATAGTGAGCATAATAATTATGCATTATAAAAAAGTGCAGATAGTACACAAGAGTATTCATTTAGAAGAAAACTTATTGTTCCCCACTCTGCCCACGGAGATGTAGTCGTACTCCGCAGAGATAGCCCTTGGTGCTTGGGCATTGTGGCTTAAGGGGGTAGGTGACTATTGGGATGACCTGTGTTGGAGTGCCACTTTGAAGCTGACTGCTCGGCTTGTGGACTAGCTTCCTGTTAGCGCACCTTAGTGGCCCAGGTTCTTGGGTTCCTGCCATGCATGTGAGAGCCAGGTGGAGTTCCTGGCTCCTGACTCTGACCTGACTTAGCCCTCCCTTGCTGTCACAGGCATTTGAGAAATGGACAAGCAGATGGAAGATCTGTTTCTCTCTGTCACTCTTTCACATACATTTTTTAAAAAGCAGAAGGTAAACCACTGGCAACTTTCTCTTACATTCATTCAATCATGCATTGTATATTTAAAGCCTCCTTCTCTGTCTCTCTGTCTCCCTCTATCTCTGTCTCTCTTCTCTCTTTACTTCTGCAACTTGTTTTTCATATCAGCTTATGTCCATCTTCCTTTTTCTTGTTTTTAAAGTTGTCAGGTAAGTCAGGCCCACAGAGAGAAACAGGGGGAGCATTATAATAGACATCCATGTTGCTGCCGCTCAGATTTGCAATGTTATTTTTTGTTTTGGAGTTGTCTTAACTACTATACAAACTGTTGGGGGTATCTTTGAAGATCACCTGTCCTGTTCCCCATCCCTCCCTGTCATGACTGTGCCTTTCTTTTGGCTTTAAACCACTGAGTAGTAGTCCATGTGTTATAACTGCCTTATTCAATCGGGTGAATATGTAAGTTATTTTCAGTGTCTTGGTATTGTCAGAGATATTGCAGTGAGCATATTTGAGCACATGCTGTGTGCCGGACACTGGTGTCGTGGGTTGTCTGTAGCATTTGGAGCATGCTCCCTGCAGAAGGGCTTCAGCCGAGAAGCTGGCTGTACCACATGCCCTGGACAGCCAGCGTACAGACAAGACAGTGATTGCTCCAAGAAGTCTGGCTGGAAAGAGGGTCCCGGCCATATGACTCAGGCCCTCCAGACTTACTAAGACATTCCCTAGTAAAGGAATCTCTTGTATTCTGTAGATCTAGTATTTATAGACGCAAAGAATTACTGTATTGGAATATATGAGTATTAGACAAAGCAAGTGAGTAACACTTTAAAAAACATACACTGACAATTTTTGAAAAAGTTGAAAATACAGAAAAATAATTTGGAGAAGTCTTACTTGTGGCTTAAGATGAGTTGGAGAAGGTGGGATGAGTTAAGGAAATAGTGTTGTGACGTAGCAGGTGAAGCCACCTCCTGTGTCATGTGCACCCCTAATGAGCACCATTTCAAGTCCAAGCAGCAGAGGACGGCCTGAGGGCCTGGGCACCTGCTACCGAGGTGGGAGACCTGGATGGCAAACCTGGCTCCTGGCTTGGGTGGATGTACGTAAGAGGCTGACTCCCAGGGTGGTTGAAGGGAGCCTGGGTTTCTTGCCGCAGGTTCCTTTCTGTGAGGCTGTTGGAACGTCTCACATGTCTGACTTCTCCACAGGCAGCCTTTCACAGGGCCATTTGATTTTAACTCGGCACACTTATTGCCTTGTTTATAAATTGGAGCTGATGAGCTAATGACCGTGAAATCACAAAATGAACGTAAAATGGAGAGAGGTCACAATGTTATATAAACTTTGAGATAGCTTTAAAATATTACTGGCCATCTGTCATGCGGCTCACACTTATATACTGTAAATATGTGCCAGGCACAGCTCTAAAGACTTCCCGTTCAGGAGCTCAGTCTGCCTGTGAGGAGAGGCCCAGATTTCTGACTTAGAGAGGAAGAATCAGAGCAGCGAGGGTCAGAGCTGCGCTAAGGGGCAAGGGCAGGCAGCCTGGTGCTGGGACGCCGGGCCTCCCCTGGGCAGGCGGGCTGAGCACTCACTGAGGCTTGTTTACTGCCTGGCATGTGCAAGTGTCAGGTGTCGGGTCACACTGAACCGTGGCGTTTCCATGCTGAGTACTGGGAATTTATTTATTAAGACTGTTTTACTTTAGATGATGTTTCAGTTGTTAATGTGTTTTATCTGGGTTTGGAAATTGAAAATTAAGAGAGTATAAACAATTTGCAGTTTCAATGATAATGTAACTTAAAACATTTTGTATAATTTATTTGGATGTCAGAAGGATAGAGAAAATGAGACAGAGATGTGTTATCTGCTGGTTCACTCCCCAAATACCCGCACTAGCCAGTGCTGAGCTAGAATGAAGCTAAGAGCCTGGAACGCAACCTGAGCGTCCTCAGGGGTGGGAAGGACAACTGCTTGAGCCATCACCTGCTGCCTCCCAGGACGCTCATTGCAAGGAGCGCAAGTGGAGTTAGGGTGCAACTTAGGCACCCCGATGTGGGATGCAGGTGCACTAACCACTGTGCAACTGCCTATCTCTCTTCTGCTTTTAAATCTAGTTGAATACTTGCCCTCCTGGTGTTAGAAGGTTACCTTTTAAAGAATAAATGGCTTGAGCTTCTCTTGTTTATACAAATGTAATCTTACGTGTTCTTCCTGCCACAGACCTCTTCTGTATGGAATCCTAGCTCACTTCTTGCACGGAGCTAAGGATGGCATCCAAAATGCATTTCTGAAGGAGCCTGCGCCTCAGCCCCCGAACCTTGGCCGACCAACCACCCCGTGGAAGCAGGCACATAGGTATGCAGCCCATGGCAAGTCTGCTGCTTGACTATATGTTTCTTTCTGTGAAGAAGTTTCTCCTGAGCTATGGAGTCATTGTTTATTTCCACTTGTGTCTAAGCCAGTGTTACTTAACCTCCAAAAATAAAAAAAGCTTCATGGAAAGGAAGGGGAAGGGAGACAAGAATAACTGAGGGCCAGATCCTTAGATGGAGTTTCTGTACAAAAATGTTTTTAAAAACCCCGATGTTCCCATATATTTATGATCTTTGGAGCAACTTAAATCATTAAAAATACAGAATAGATAGCTTTTTATCAAGGTTATTTTTTTCTCTCCAAGATGGAAAATAAAAGTTAGATTGCCGAATATAGATAAAGAAGTTTAGGTATATGTGCCCATTGCATTTTCAGGATGCTTTTTTTTTTTTTTTAAGATTTATTTATTCTTATTGGAAAAGCGGATATACAGAGAGGAGGAGAGACAGAGAGGAAGATCTTCCATCTGATGGTTCACTCCCCAAGTGGCCGCAACAGCTGGAGCTGAGCCAATCCAAAGCCAGGAACCAGGAGCTCTTCTGGGTCTCCCACGCGGGTGCAGGGTCCCAAGGCTTTGGGCCATCCTCGACTGCTTTTCTAGCATTCATTGGACTGCCTTCCCAGGCCACAAGCAGGAAGCTGGATGGGAAGCAGGGCCACCAGGATTAGAACCGGCGACCAAATGGGATCCTGGCGCGTGCAAGGCAAGAACCTCAACCACTGTGCTATGGGCCAGAGCCAGGAGCCAGGAGCTTCATACAGGTTTCCACGTAAGCACAGGGATCCAAGCATTTAGGCCACCTACTGCTGCCTTTGGAGAGCGTCACCATGCCGCTGAAGCACAGCAGCCAGACTTAAATTGGTGCTCCAACATGGGCACTAGCATGACATGGCAGAGACTTAAACTTCTGTGCCACAACACAGGCCACACAGTGGTATTTGTAAATAACAGATTCTTAGAAGCATCAACCATATTTCTTTTAGAGGGACCCCCCCTTAAAAAAAAAAAAAGATTCATTTATTTTTATTGGGAAGGCAGATTAACAGAGAAAGAGAGGCAGAGAGAAAAATCTTCCATTCACTGGTTCACTCCCCAAGTGGCTGCAGTGGCCAGAGCTGAGCTGAAGCCAATAGCCAGAAGCTTCTGGGTCTCCCATGTGAGTGCAGGTTCCCAAGGCTTTGGGCTGTTCTATACTGCTTTCCCAGGCCATAAGCAGGGAGCTGGATGGGAAGTGGAGCAGCTGGGACATGACCCAGTGCCCTTAAGGGATCCTGGCATATGCAAGGCAAGAATTAGCCACTGAGCCGTTGCACTAGCCCTAGAATGCCTCCCCCCCCCCTTTTTTTCTAAAATTTATTTTATTTGTATTGGAAAGTTGATATACAGAAAGGAGGAGAGACAGAGAGGAAGATCTTCCATCTGATGATTCATTCCCCAAGTGGCCACATGGGCCGGAACTGTGCCGATCTGAAGCTAGGAGCCAGGAGCCTCTTCTGGGTTTCCTATGTGGGTGCAGGATCCCAAGGCTTTGGGCTGTGCTCGACTGCCTTCCCAAGCCACAAGCAGGGAGCTGAATGGGAAGCGAGGCCTCTGGGATTAAAACCAGCACCCATATGGGATCTCAGAGCATGTAAGGTGAGGACTTCAGCTGCTAGGCTACCGTGCCAGGCCCGAATGCCCATTTTTAAAATGAGCTTCCAGTTCTGATTGCATCAGCAATAAGTCCTCATGGGTTTTATTTAGCTCAGTGTTTGCAGCTGTGGCCAGAAGTAGATCTCCTTGTCAGGAGGACAATTATTGCCGGTGCTCAGGCAGTGGAGAGAGACATCTTTATATGGACAGTGGCAGAGGTCACTGAGATTGATGACGGGGCAGCAGACAGCTCAGGGTGCCTGTTCTGTGACTCAGAAATGAGGATCACCCCTGAACTCACTAAGGCGGACAGTGACTTGACGGGGTATTTTCTTAACATTAGAAATTCTGGCTCAGCAGTAGCTTTCTTGCACAGACTTGAGAATCATCAGCCAAACATCGCATCACCTTTCAGTAACACAGTTAAGCAATTCCATTTGCTTTCTCAACTCCAGCCTACCATCTGCAGTTACATAACTTATTTGACAGCACTGAGAATGTCATGAAGCTGTTAAAATAATCATTCTTACATTCCCAAAACTCGTTCAGCTAAAATATGTAGCATTGACATGAAATTCACATCTACTTGAAAATAAGCCCGAAGTATGCCAGCGTGAGAGCAATTCCTTCATCAAAGCTCCTGCAGGGCTGAGAAGAGCCGGAAGGGCCTGATGGGGCACGCCCACCTGCATAGCAGTCTTTGGCTGTGCTATGTGAGCACTTCTCATACTGGAGGGAAATTTATAAAAATTGAGGTTTTTTTTTTTAAAGATTTATATTTTTTTTATTGGAAAGGCAGATGTACAGAGAGAAAGATTCTCCATCCGATGATTCACTTGAGTGCAACTGCCGGTGCTGTGCCGATCCAAATCCAGGAGCTAGAAACTTCTTTGTGGGTCTCCCATGCAGGTGCAGGGTCCCAAAGCTTTGGGCCGTCCTCGACAGCTATCCCAGGCCACAAGCAGGGAGCTGGATGGATAGTGGAGCTGCCGGGATTAGAACCGGCACCCGTATGGGATTCCGGCGCATTCAAGGCGAGGACCTTAACCATTATGCTATCGTGCCAGGTCTGGGTTGTTTTGTTTTGCTTTAATTATTTGAAAGCTTGTGACAGAATGAGAGACAGAGAGATCTTTAGATGGTTATACCTGATATCCCAACTGGATTTCCCACATGGATGACAGGGCTGTCTTCCACTGCCTTGCTAGATGGATTAGCAGGACGCTGCATTGGAAGCAGAATAGCTGGGACTCAAGTCACGCATCTGACATGGCCTGCAGGCATTGCCAATGGCAGATTAACCTGCTGCACTACAGTGCCTGCCGCCGAAGTCAGGATGTTCAAGGTTGAGAACACTGTTTACCGTTTTTGCTCATCTAAGTATGAAAGTAATAGGGTTCACTTTTTAGGACCCTTTTCTGGAAAACCTAAAATTGTGATGTCTTAAATTGTTAATTCTGTTCTGCGGGTCAAGTTGCCTAAAATAAGGGTGAGATTTCACCTGTTCAGCACTGTGAAGTGGAGCTCAGTGGAATTCACTCGGGCTAGTCAGCTGCTAGGGACTCTATGGACATCTCAGCAGTTAAGAGTTAGGGGCCAGCCATGTGGCACAGAGCATGAGGCTGCCCCTGGGGCGCCCCCAGAGCAGCCTGCAGGGCCAGCCATGTGGCACAGAGCATGAGGCTGCCCCTGGGGCGCCCCCAGAGCAGCCTGCAGGGCTAGCCATGTGGCACAGAGCATGAGGCTGCCCCTGGGGCGCCCCCAGAGCAGCCTGCAGGGCCAGCCATGTGGCACAGAGCATGAGGCTGCCCCTGGGGTGCCCCCAGAGCAGCCTGCAGGGCCTGCTGCTGTCTCATGTGCACCTTTGGAGGCAGCAGGTGGAGGTTCAAGTCTTTGGAGCCCCCGTCAGGAGTGTGGGAGAATCCACTGGAGTTCCTGGGTTTGGGCTGAAGCCTGGCACAGTCCTGGCTCTTGCAGCCATTTGGAGAACTTGTTTGTGTTTTGGTGCTCAATTTGTGCTCTCTTTCTCCTGCTACCAAAATGCCATAAGAAAGGTTTGTTTTTTCAGTTGTAGTTCTTAGGTTATTGCGGAATGGGGACCCACATATTCTCCAAAATCTATTTTTTGCATTGCATTTGGATATTTAGTCCCTTTAGTTTTTTTTTTCCCCAAGATTTATTTATTCTTTTTTAAAAGGCAGAGTTCCAGGCAGAAGGAGAAAGAGCGGGAGAGAGACAATCTTCCGTCTCTTGGTTTACACAGACCTGGCTGAGTCCAAAGCCAGGAGCTTTTTCTGGGTGTCTCGCGCTGGTACCTGGGCCATGCTCTGCTGCTTTCCTAGGCACATTAGCAGGGAGCTGGATGGAAAGCGGAGCAGCCAGGATTCAGCCAGCCACCTATATGGGATCCTGGTGGGAGCTGCAGGTGGTGCCCCAGCTCGCTGTGCCAGGGCTCTTCAGTGTTAAATCTAGGGACCTTTCATCCTCTACTCCCACGACAAAAGAGGTTGAGAGGAAGTGACTGTCTCTACTGCTGCCAAAGCACAGTGAGTGCTCACAGTGGCCTGGGTGTTTCTGAACCCTCTTGGAGCTTTGTTGTTTTGTTTTAAGCTTTTGAGGGTTTTTTCCCTGCAGTTTCAGGATTTACATTTTGGAGGGAATTTGTAAACTGCCAGTTTTATACTTGCCACAAGGGGGTGCTGCTGGGAGCTGTTTTACTGCAAGGTGGGTTTACATTGAAGCACTTTGGTTGGTATTCTTGAAAAGACTAAACACCTGGTCCTTTCTTGCTAATTCCATTCCTTACATAAAAGAAAGAAAATTGTAATTCCATACACCTGAATTTTAATCTAGTCACTTAAAGAACTGAAAGACTGGGCTCCAGCACAATAGCCTAGAGGCTAAATCCTCGCCTTGCATGCCCTGGGAACCCAGTAGGCGCCAATTCATGTCCTGGCTGCTCTACTTCCCGTCCAGCTCCCTGCTGGTATCCTGGGAAGGCAGGGGAGAATGGCCCAAAGCCTTGGGAAAATATTTCTCTCTGTCTCTCCTCTCTGTAAATTTGATTTTCCAAAAAGGCAAGGGTTGATGCTGGCACTGTGGTATAGTAGGTTAAGCTTCCTCCTGAAGCACCAGCATCCCGTTTGGGTGCCCCTTCCAGTCCCCAATGCTCCACTTCTGATCTAGCTCCTTGCTTATGCCCTGGGCAGGCAGCAAAGGATGGCTCAAGGCCTTGGGACCCTTGTACCACGAGGGAGACCCAGAAGAAGCTCCTGGTTTCAGATCGGCCCAGCTCTGGCTGTTGCAGCTATTTGGGAAGTGAATCAGCAGATGGAGGAGGTCTAAGAAATAAAAATCTTAGGAAAAAAATAAGAGGCCAAGAGCTGGCATGAGCATTTGGTAGAATAGGTAATATGCTGCTAGATATTTCACAGCCCTGTTGGAGTCCCTCATTCCAGTTTCTGCCCTGCCTCCCTTTCATTGGTGCAGACCTGGGAGATGGCACTGCTGGCTCAGGGGATGGGCTCCTGCCTTCCACGTGGGAGACCTAGACCACGCTCCCTGCATTCACACTGATCAGTCGTGGCCATGGCACGCATGTGAGGAGTCAATGAAAAGATGAATTTGAAATATGTCTCCCCCAGACAAATCAGTTTTTTTTTTTTTAAGATTTATCTATTTTTATTACAAAGTCAGATATACAGAGAGGAGAGACAGAGAGGAAGATCTTCCGTCCCATGATTCACTCCTCAAGTGACCGCAACGGCCGGTGCTGCACCAATCTGGATCCAGGAGCCAGGAATTTCCTCCAGGTCTCCCACACGGGTACAGTGTCCCAAGGCTTTGGGACGTCCTTGACTGCTTTTCCAGGCCACAAGTAGGGAGCTGGATGGGAAGTGGAGCTGCCGGGATTAGAACTGGCATCTGTATGAGATCCCAGCACATTCAAGGCAAGGACTTTAGCCACTAAGCCACTATGTTGGGCCCAAGGCAAATCAGTTTTATAAAGTCTTCTGATAATTACAAAACAGTTTCTTTTTTAAAGATCTTTTTTTTTCCCCCCAAATCAATCTCCAACAAATAAAAAGACCTTTTTGAATGGTTAGGATCTTTATTAGTAAGCATTTCTGATTTCTTCAATAGTATTTCCAAACAATAAATCTTTTGTATATAAAGAATTTTAAGAATATACCAAAGCTCTTTGGATAGTTCATGGAAAATGAGCCTTACCCTACCTGAATTTCAAAATTGTTTTTGCACCAACATGTGCCCTATGCAAAAATTATGCGTGGATTAAAAAAAATAAAACTTTGCACCAAAAATAAATATACCATTTCGTTCCATTTCTCCATGGACTTTGAAGTACCTTCAGGTAACATCCTAAACTATGTGTGGATTTCTGTTCCTTTAGATGATCTGCTAAGAAAGGAGAGTGGGAAGAGCTCCGACGGTGCAGAGATGACACGGCCTTCGGGGTAGCTTTCGTCCTCAAATTATTCTACCCAGTAACTTATTTATTACCCCAGAGTGACACCACTACCATTTGTGTTTTCTGAAACTGTTGAGTTTCTCCACAAACACTTTGCCTCTCATGTTTTATTCCTTTGTGAATAAAAGCTAACTTTGTCATCTAGTTTACTGGATTTAACTTGAAAGAAAGCATGTTCTTCTAGGAAGTGTTCTAAAGGCCCCTGGGTATGAGAAGTGGAGGGCCTCCTTAGCACCTCATGCAGGTGTTCAGGTCAGTAGGTCCACGAGGGGAAGCTCTGCTGCCTGACCTCACATTAGTTACATTTCTGTCATTAAAACAAGAAAAAAGCATGATTTCTATAGCTTTTTTTTTCAGCAGCTGTTTTTACCTAACCATTTATAAATATCCGAATTACTATAAGGTTGAATTTTGCAACTAAGGAACAATGTTTTTCTCCCTCGTTAGACATTTGGCTTGTACTGCAAACTTTAATTAAAAGGTAGTGCTGGGGAAAGTAGTTTTGCCATTTGCTGTAGTAAAACAAAGAAGTTATTATGTAAAGAATGTGAAATGCACATGAAGGGACAGGCTTTGGAGGAGATGCCTGATGCTGGCCCCTGAAGGATGGCCTTGTCCACTGCTGTGTAGTCGTCCATTGTGTGGACATGTCACGGAGGGGCCCAGCCCCGCTCACAGGGCCTGAATCTTCCACAGCATCCATTTTTTATCCTAGAGATGGAAATCACTGATCTCTAAGGGCGCTACCTCTAAAATGGCACTTGGATACCTACGGAAGGAACTTTTACAATGTCACGTCCACACACGGATTTCACTGAAGGCAGCTGACTCTTAGGGCTAACCTCCACCAGCTGACAGAAGTCGCATGGTCAGTTCAGAATAGAACCCTGCCTGGGGACCAAACTTCACAAGTTACTGCTTTGAGAGGCCCTGTTGGAGGGCTTAAGATTGGATGACAAAATATCATAAGGCCACTTTCCATTTTTAAATCTGTAAGATTTGATTACCATTATGAATTCCATTGTGTTATATGTGGGAATATAAATATCTGACTGCTCCCAGAGGACTTGGTTTACATCCAAGGATACTGGCAGTGGACCCCAAGTTTACCTCAGGAATTACAATCATGTAGGACTAGATTAAGAAAAAATTCTGGAACTTACCATTTTGGATACTGATATAAAATCATCAAAACAGAAGCGAAACGGAATTGTCACATAGTGCTTTTGTATGTATCATTCTGTAACTTGTTTGTACCTAGGCAACTTTTATACTTTTAAAGTTTGATTTAATAAAAAAATTTAATGAATTCAGCTCTGTGTAGAGGGTGTCCATATCTTTGTCCTCAGCAGCTGGGCACGGTGGGAGGGTCCTCCTGCCCCGTTCAGGGTCCTGCCAGGCTGGTTGTTGGGAGGGCGAGGTGAAGGGTGGAGGAAGGGGGCCTGAGTGTGGGAGGGTGCTGTCATGAGTGGACGAAGCAGGAGCCGTATTGATGTCCGATTCTTCTGAGCACTTGGGAGGCCCCTCTTGGCCCTTCGATGCCACTTCTGACAATGATTCAGCCCGTGGTCGCCTGGGCAGAGCTGGTATCAGTCTTGGGGGACAGCAGTGTAGCCTGGGGGCCATGTTTGGTTGGAAAAAAATATATTTAGTAAAGAAAAAAAATATTTTGAAAGCAGTGTGAGATTTTTGTGATTATCTAGAAACAAAAAAACAAAGCAAAAACAAAATCACGAGGGCTTCGTGTTCTTAAAAAGTTAAGAAAGTCCACTACAGAAAGAATTATACTTGCAGTTGAAAGCTGTCAGTTTATGATCCAGCCATTTTTAAAAAAGATTTATTCATTTTTATTCAAAGTCAGATATACAGAGAGGAGAGACAGAGAAGATCTTCCATCCAATGATTCATTCCCCAAGTGACCGCAATGGCTGCTGGTGCTGCACCAATCTGGAGCCAGGAGCCAGGAATTTCCTCCAGGTCTCCCACACCGGTGCAGGGTCCCAAGGCTTCGGGCCGTCCTCAACTGCCTTCCCAGGTCACAAGCAGGGAGCTGGAAGGTAAGTGGAGTAGCTGGGATAGGAACTGGCACCCATATGGGATTCCGGCACATGCAAGGCAAGGACTTCAGCCACTAGTCTACCATGTCAGGCCTGGGAATCTACTTTCTAACAGGTTACACAAGGGCTGTCTGGTCTTCATGGATTTTTGTTCATTGAAAGTGAAACCTTTTCAAAAGTAGACTTTAATTTTGTTTTTCTGGGGCAGTTTTAGACTCATGACTGAATTGCGTGGTAAGTATAGAGAGCTACCCTCTACCCAGCTCCCCACCACACCCCCTCACTTCTGGTCTCTCCTCCCACCACCCCGCCCCAGAGCAGTATAATGGTGCCAGTGGGTGAATCCGTACCAGTTGACACCATTATCGCCCACATGCACTCTTGGTACAGTCTGTGTTTTAGACAAATGTGTGGCAAATGTGTTCACCGTTAGGGCATCCCATAGAATGGTTTCACTGCCCCACAAATTCTCTGCCTCACCTGTTCTAGAAGGTTCTATAGTCAGAATGGTTCAGGATGTTGGCTTTTTCAGGTAGGTTTCTCTCAGTTCCTCTGTCTCTCTTCACAGCTTTACTCCTTGTCGCTCACCTACCCCCTACTCAAGGACATCCTGGTTTCCTTTAAGTCTGACCAGTTCTGGATAAAATTTTTAACATCTGTGTTCTATTTTGTGTGTGTGTGGAGAGGGGAGAGGAGAGATGTCACTTTTTAGCTGCTTTGGGTCAATTCCGAGAAGAGTGTTTTTGCTAAATCCCAAGGACATTTAGTGGTTTTGTAAGCTCTAAAACTACTTTTTTCTCAGCCTTTCAGGACCAGGGATGGAGGTGGGTGATTGAAGGTGAGTGTGGCGGTGCCTGTGCATTGCAGCTTGTGGCACAGGGAGACACGCGGGTGTCATCAGGGTAGACTAAAAGCACTTTAGTACAGGAGCTGGAGCGGGGCCACCCTTGTTTCTAGTCCAGCCTGCTGTTCCCACATCCTCGGAGGAAAGATCTTCCATCCACTGGTTCACTCCCCAAAAGACAGCAACAGCTGCAGCTGAGCTGATCTGAAGTCAGGAGCCTCTTTCGGGCCTCCCATGTAGACGCAGGGTCCTGAGGCTTTGAGCCATCCTCTACTGCTCTACCAGGCCACAAGCAGGGAGCTAGAGGGAAAATGGAGCATTCAGGACACAAACCAGTGCCTATATAGGACCCTGCAACATGCAAGGTGAGGATTTGGCCACTAGACCATCACACCAGGCCAGGCTTGATAATCCTCGTGAATAAATCTCTCTCTCTCTCTCACACACACACACACACACACACACACACACACACAGAAGGAAAGAACAAACTTGGGAGCCCAGCATGATAACGTAGTGGTTAAAGTCCTCGCCTTGAATGCACTGGGATCCCATATGGTTACTGGTTCTAATCCTGGCAGCCCTGCTTCCCATCCAGCTCCCTACTGGGAAAGCAGTCGAGGACGGCCCAAAGCCTTGAGACCCTGCACCCATGTTGGAGACCTGGAAGAAGGTCCTGGCTCCTGGCTTTGGATTTGCTCAGCTCCAGCTGTTGTGGCTGCTTGGGGAGTGAATCATAGGACAGAAGATCTTCCTCTTTGTCTCTCCTCCTCTCTATATATCTGCCTTTCCAGTAAAAATTTTAAAAATTTTAAAAAAGAACACACTTGGTCCCAATCTTTGGTGTCACTTAAAACTGGAGGGGAATCACACATTGGGGCTTTTTGAATGCAGAGGAAAATAAAAAGCTCATTGATTAGGAAAAAACAGAAGACCCCAAGAGAAATTTTCCCTGAGCCCTCTTGCTTCACAGGTTCACAGAAACCCCCACCCAGTGGTTCCTCTGAGACCAGACGTCCTGAGGAAAATTACTTGACAGCACTCATTCAAAGTGACGTTTTTCCAACCATGATTTTTTTTTTTCTCAAAATAACTGACCCTAAAAGAAAAAGCAAAACAAAACAAAACTGACCCTTTGAGCTGTAATAAGTGGAACTGGGGCCTCTGGCTTCATGCGTGCTAACAGCAATGCCATTTTGAAGACTCGGCGTGAGGACTTTGTGTAGCCCACACTTGGAACACAGCAGAAAGTTAGAGGTCATTTCTCGCGTGCTGGTGTATTGAACAGCCCGGCCAGGTTGTTCAAGCAGAATGATGATTTTAGCTTTTCACTGGGAAAGGCAGGCCCAGAAGGGGTCCCGGCCAGCCCTGAGCTGCCTGGCTGCTTGTTGGCGGACCTAGTGGCCGAAGCCCTCTGATTTCTTATCCTCACACGCCGTCAGGCACACAGTGCAGTTCCTGCAGTACCGCTGCATTTCCCGTTCTACCGGAACACCCCCCCACCTTGGTTTGCACTAGTAACAAGAGGAACATGAGCAGAGATAGAATGCGGTAAAACCGAGTGTTCCCAAGTAATGAAGCATCCTCTCTGGAAGGCGCCCAGGCAGGTCTTGAACGCGTCGGTGCAACCCCTTGCAAGCCAGGCCGAGGTGCCAGCAGCCTGCTCTGCCTCAGCCACAGTTTATCCCCTTCCTTCTCTGCTCCCCATCACCTCCGCGCGGAGGCAGGGACAGTTTCCACTCCTTTTACAGTGTGGAGGGGAAGAGGCCTGTGGAGAAGCAGCTCATTCATCATGTGCCCAGGAGCCTTGCCCCTCTTCCCCAGCGCAAAGCAGGGAGGCGGGGCCGGACGGGGCTGCCATGGTCTTCCAGGCTGTGCAACCGGAGAGCTGCAGGCGACCCTAGGCCCAGCGGGCTCCTCACTCCCCAGACTTGGCGCCCACTCTAGTCGGCCAGGGACAGCAGCCCATATGGAACGGGGTGGGAGGCAGTGCTTGTTTCCCACGAGGACTACTTCCCAAAAGCCAAGCAGTAGCTACTGTCCTTGCCATTTTACAGGCAGGGAAACTGAGGCACGGATAGTGGCAGTGTCTTGTCCTGCATCAGAAACGGCTGATTCACACTCAGCCACCTCGCCGACCCCCACCCACCTGCCCTGGGCCTCGGCCCTTTTCCCTGGAATGTCTCCTTGCTGTAGGTGTATCAGGGAAATCAGAAGGGTCCCCTGAGATGCTCTGGGGACTCAGTAGTGTCGCCTTAAAGACATCCCATCCCCCCCACACACGTGGTTGCAAGGGGCGGGGTTGTTACGTAAGCCCAGTACAGAGCCTGACGGGGGCTTCCCAGCTCCTGGAAACTTCGCCCCCAAATCCTCTGGCCCGAAGTGGCTGGAACGCACGGGGAACTTGTCCCAGGGTGCGCCCCAAGCACAGGGGTCGCCATGCGCACCAGCGGGGCTGCCGTGGCCGGCGCTGGGTGCCGGCTGCCCTCCCCCGCGCCCGCGGAGCTGGGAGGCCGTGCGGCACCATATTTAGTCAGGGGGAGCGGGCAGCCCCGGACTGGTATGCGGCGCTGGGAATTCCTGCAGGAAGGAGCCCGCGCCTGCCCTTTTTGGGTTGTCTCCCGCCCCGCGCCCTGTGCCCGCCGCGCCCGGGGAGGGAGCACCGGCCCGGCCTGGCTCGGCCCGGGAACCTCGGAGCCGGCCCGCGCGGGGAGCGGGGTCTCCAGCCTGGCCAGGGGCCAACCCCTAGCCTCCACTGCCTTTTATGGCCTGTGTGTGCGTGTGTGTGGCAGCGCGAGAAGAGGGACTGGGAAAGCCTGCGCACGAAAAAGATGATTTTGGTATCAAAACCAAAAAATTTAAACACACACAAATCTGAAATGCATGCCTCGGAGAGGGTTTGCAAAAGCTCATGGAACATACACACTATGAAAAAGTATACATGGAGTTCAATAGCTTTTTAACTTAATTCCATCGCACCGTGCACTTTCTGAAAGACCCTGGGCCCAGAGCAAGGGGCAGCGACAGTGACCGGGACAGGCACAGCAGGCTGGGGAAGGGCGCCAGGCATGGGGTGCATGGGAGTTGGTGAGACCACTCCTGCCTCCAGGATGGAAGCCCATGGGAGGCCGAAGGAGTGTGGACGAGCCGGGAAAGGACTCCGGGGGTCAGCTTCCCCCGGGTCTGCAGGGATAATATGCGGGAGTGCCAGCGCTGTGCGGGGATCGCGGGGTGCACCTGACGAATGACAGAATCATCGCCGCCCCCTTACCCCATGTGGCAGAGCACTCCTCGAGGCTCGGCAAAGCATGTACCCAAGGGGCAGAAGACGCGATGAGGGGCTGCACCTGTGCCGCTCTGGCAAGTCGAGAAAAAGCACTTTTCATCTGGTTGCGCCCCCTTTGCAGCAATC